GTAGTAGTAGTAGTAGTAGTAAAGTTGGAAGGGACCTTGGAGGTCATCTAGTCCAACCCCCTGCTCAGGCAGGAAACCCTACACCATTTTGGACAAATGGCTGTCCAGTCTCTTCTTAAAAACTTCCAGTGTTGGAGCATTCACCACTTCTGGAGGCAGGTTGTTCCACTGGTTAGTTGTTCTAACTGTCAGGAAGTTTCTCCTGAGTTCTAGGCTGCTTCTCTCCTTCATTAGTTTCCATCTGTTGCTTCTTGTCCTGCCTTCAGGCGCTTTGGAGAATAGCTTGACTCCCTCTTCTTTGAGGCAGCCCCTGAGATATTGGAAGACTGCTATCATGTCCCCCCTCGTCCTTCTCTTCATTAAACTAGACATACCCAATGCCAGCAACCGTTCCTTATATGTTTTAGCCTCCAGTCCCCTAATCATCTTTGTTGCTCTTCTCTGCACTCTTTCTAGAGTCTCAACATCTTTTTTACATCGTGGTGACCAAAACTGGATGCAGTATTCCAAGTGTGGCCTTACCAAGGCATTGTAAAGTGGTATTAATACTTCACGTGATCTTGATTCTATCCCTCTGTTAATGCAGCCCAGCACTGTGTTGGCCTTTTTGGCAGCTGCAGCACACCACGTTCCTCCTTGCTCAAGAGCAGGGCAGCAAAGAGGCTGGCGACACCAACCAGTGCAAAATACACAGGAGGTGGCTTAGCTGAAAACCCGGGAGAAGCGAATCACCTGCCCGCTTGCTTATTTAGGTGCACGGATGCGGGCAGGTGCCCAGCAGGCTGGTAGTCCGTCTGTCACGTGGGTGGCGGAAAGGCGGGGAAAGTTGAAGGACCTTCCTCTGGGGACCTGGTTGGAGAACAAAGGCAGCCCGTGGCTCTTCGGTGCCTTGAAGGGGACTCCGACGAATTCAGTTCTGATGCGTTCAAGCTCCATGAAGTTCAGCTTTCTTCTAGGTATCCGGGCCCAGCCTGTGGAAGTCCCCCTCCCATTCCCAGGAAAAAAGTTGAACGCGGTTTCTTATGTGTGTGGGGAGTGGGAGCGAGAGGATTGGGATAGTTGACCTCGGTACTTTTTGCAGCACCTCCTGTAAATAAATTCCCTAAACAGAGCGGCTCGTCCCGATCTCCACACTGTAAGAAGTCTATTTCAAAATTGCTCGAGACTGGCAAATTTGGAAGACCTCGACTTGTCAACTGTGGCAAACAGAAGCTCTGCTTTCCTTCATCTTTGCTAGAGTTGCCCCAGCTATCTCTGTCTTAGACCCCTTCTGCCTTCCCTCACATTTTTTTTTCTCATCTGCGGGTGGATGGGTGTCAGTTAAGGTGGCCAACGTATCTCATGCTCCTGCCTCTTTTCCATCACAACAACCTTGTTAGGCTGACAGGGGGTCACTCAGCCCCCCCCCCCCCCGCTTTCGTGCCAAGGACGGGACTAGAACTCACAGACTCCTGGTTTCTAGGCTAGCGCCTTAACCATTAGACTAAACTGGCTCTCACGTGAATTCCTCTTTCGCGCTTTTCCTCTCCTGCTAAAGCTTGGGGATCCTGGTGATGAAAAGAGGTGGGAACATAGAAGCGGGTTTTTTTTGCTCCTTCCACTTTTTAGATGCGCGCAACCTTCGCTGGCGCATTTCCTGCCCCTTTTCTCTCTCTCTCTCTCTCTCTCTCACACACACACACACACACACACACACTCACTCACTCACTCATTCTCCACTCTCCACTCCAGCCCCTCCTGCTGAATCAAAGCTCTTTTGTACCAAAGGAAGAACGCTGGGAAGCAATGATCAGATTTTATTGTGTTTTTTTTAATTCTTGATCCAAACCATAACGAGGAGCTGAAAATCCCTGCATCCAAAAATCGGCTGTCTCCAAAGCGCAGGTTGCTCAGAGGGCTCGGATTTGTTTACCCACGGAGATCCCAAACAGTATTCAGAGCGGGGAAGGGCGTGGGGAAAGAAAATGGAGGGGAGAGAAGGAGATTTGATTGTTACCTCTCAGTCTCCAACTTTTCCAAGTTTCTCTCTTTTACCTAAAGCGAGCTATAAACCTCCAAACATAAACACCTTTGTTTACAATGGGCCTCTTTCTACATCTTGTCTATTTCCCACTGGAAATCCAGAGTTTCTATCAATCTCTCATCACTGAACTCGGGTTCATAATTTCCTCTCCCTCCCCCCCTTCCCCAACCGCTGGGACTAATATCGCCAGTGGCTTCGGTTCTGTTGAACCTTGAGCTGCCTTAATGACTTTATTTCTATGAGCATCCCAAGTCAGTAGAATATAGAGCGGCCCATGCCGACTTGGAACAAGTTCCTGAAAATTGGAACCATCATATCTGGAGTTCCAAACTTCGGACAACCACTAGGTGGCAGCAGAGAGATTACATATTGCTCATAGCCTAGAGGGGTTCAGCAGGATTTGTGCAGAAAATCAGTAGACCTGCTGGCAATAAAGAAGCATTAACTCAAAATTGGGTAGGGAATGGAAAGGGAGGGAAATAGCCCTACAGGTATCAAATATGCAATCCTGGTTAAGAATAGTTCTTCTCTTTTAAAAGGTGGGACTCTAGAGTAAGTGGACCCAAAAATTCTTAGACAGTTTTGAAAAGCGTTGACTGAGCACAAGTATTTGGAACTGAGCAGCCTCAAAATCTTGGATCTTAGATGGAAAGAAGAACGAAAGCTTCACAACGGGAATTTTCTTTAAACCTGCTAGAAATAAACCTACTTCCCTGTTCTACTTTGCTAGACAACTACATCACTATTATGCCCTCACTTATATAGGCCAGTGTTTTCGAACTTAGCAACGTTAAGATGTGTGGACTTCAATTCTCAGAATTTCCCAGCCAGCTTTGAGATACACAGAGCTAGGCCAGTGATGGCGAACCTTTTAGAGACTGAGTGCCCAAACTGCAACCCAAAACCCATTTAATACATCGTAGGGTGCCGGGTGGGTGTGGCCCATTGGGTAGGCATGGTTGCGGTGGTAACAGCAGATTGGGTGGGACTAAAAAGTTCAATCAATCAATTCCAACTTTGCAAGATCTTTTTTTCCCCAGGAGAAGTTAAAATTGATTGATTGAACCTTTTTTTTTTTTTTGCACACGCGGAGGCCTAAAGCGAAAAGGTTTTATAAAACCCAGCTGAAGGCCTAGGACTGGGGCGACGGCGCACGTGCCCACCGAGAGGCCTCTGGCACTCGTGCCATAGGTTCGCCACCACTGAGCTAGGCCATTCATACATCTACATTTACCAGGGTTTATTTTTCCTGAATCCCTGAAAGTCCTTTAGCTTTTGAAGCAGAGCAGAACCAACCCCAGCTTCATACAGAGACAAACAAAAGTTTAGTCCTAGGTACAATTTCATATCTGCGTCCAGGCCTACTTTATTGGTCTCTGGATACCTTTCTCTATTTAGCAGCTTCTGCGGCTCCAGATAAAGTCCTCAATTGCCAGCCAGTGAGAAATAACAATTAACCCAACATTAAGGATAATTCTCTAGTCTCCACCATCTCTCATACACGAATCCCTCCCCATACCCTGGGTGTCAAGTGATGGAGGATCCTTTAGCAGCTGCGTGGGGGGGGGGGGACAACAACCCAGTCTTTTCAAAAATAAGCACTATTGTGAGTTCCGTGTAATTTCCATCAGCCTCTCTCACTCTTGGGCTGATAGAATATACCCTGAGATCTAGGGTACTAAACCTCAAAGTAATTGCAACTGCCTTTACTTAATGCAGCTTAGGTGGTTGGGCTATAAAAGAACAGGACACTTCCACCCCCACCCCCACCCCCCACAAATCTTTAGATCCATCTTCCGCGGAGGCTCAACCCTTCCATTCTATTCTATTCCGCGTTAGAAAGTTATTACAAATCGCCACCTCTGTACAGCCACAGGGGATTAAAAACGGCCCTTTCGAAAGACATGTTTCTTCTCCGCTCCCTGTCCTGAAAGCTAGGACGACGCGTGTGGACCAGCCTGCTTCAAGTAATGCCCAACTATTTTTTTTTTTTAAAACGGGCACTCTAACTTTGCCTATGATGTCCTCAATATCTCAAACAGCGATGAAGCCCCCCTCCCCAAATGACCTCTTTTATCGGCTCTTAAATTTGCCAGACCATTTCCAACCTCCAGGCTGACAGGTAATGTGTGAACGTTATAGGGGTCTCACCTCTGCGCGCACACACCTCGTCTTACTCTTGCTGACAAATATTAACCTGCTGCCAATTTTCTTTTAAGTTGAAGAGGAGGAGGGGGGGGGGAAGAGAAAAAAAGAAAAGAAACATGTAATTGATGTTATCCCGAGAAAGCGCCGTCTCCACCCCTTTCACTTCCCAACCCTTCAGGTACAAGGAGGGAGCGAGCAAGAATCTCTCAAGACCTTTTTAAAAAAAAAATTCTCTCGCCTTCTTGTGGGCGCTTTTTTTCCCCCCTTCTGTTTTGCCTTCTTCAGGGTTAATACATCGGAAGGCGAGCTTCTCCCGCCTCGACCAATCAGGACTCAGCGCTGGCAGCTATAATATAGAACTAGAGCCAGGCTTCACTCACAGGCGTTTCAGCTCCCATTAGATTCCCAGGGACCCGTCTTTATCATTTCACTTCGTTTCCACCGTCGCTTCCCCACCTTCCCGCTTCGGTCCCTCCTGCCTTCTACGCGCCACGATCCTGAACTCCGATGAGTCCCGTTATCGCAAGCGCCCTCCAAGATGCACCTGCCTTGCTAGAGATCGGGGGCTAAGTCACCGAGAGGAGAGGAGAGGAGAGGAGAGGAGAGGAAAAGAAAGGAGGAGGAGGAGGCGGGCAGGCAGGCAGGCAGGCAGCAAGCAGGAGACAAGGAAGGGAGAAGTCAGGAACCGAGGGAAGAGGGCAACTGCCGGGCAAGAAAGGCAGCAGCGGGCGCGCTCTCTGCCACTCACCCGCACTCACCCGCGCCGCGAGCCGGCAGAGCGCAGGGGGCGGCGAGGGGGGAAGCCGAAGGGGCCGCTTGTTCCGTGGACGGCATGCTGCTCCTCCGAAGAACTGGGCTCCTCCCGCTCTGCCTAGGCGCGCTTTTCCTCTCCGCCGGGCTGGCTTGCGGGCCGGGCCGGGGTTTCGGCAAGAGGAGGCACCCGAAGAAATTGACCCCTTTAGCCTACAAGCAGTTCATCCCCAACGTGGCCGAGAAGACGCTGGGCGCCAGCGGCAGATACGAGGGCAAGATCAGCCGGAACTCGGAGCGCTTTAAAGAGCTGACCCCCAATTATAATCCGGACATTATTTTTAAGGACGAGGAGAACACGGGAGCCGACCGGCTGATGACCCAGGTCAGAGACGCGCCCTTCGCCTCTTGCCGACCTGCTCGCCTTCCGGCCTGGGGAGGGGGAGCGGACTGTAATCAGGCAGCATCGCCTCCCTCCGGGGCTCTCAGCTTCCCCGGGCGTCGCCGACCCCGGTCCCCAGGAGCTGTCGGGGGAAGGGATGCGCCGGGGAGGGGGACCCCTTGGGGATAGCATCGGCAGGTCTGTTGACGCGACCTTCCGCCTCGGAGGGAGGAGGAGGCTCCGCGTGTGAAGACGGCAGCCTGATAGTTGCAGGCAGAACTGCTCTTGGCCGCTCCCTGCCACCGAGTTGGTTAGCTGGCGGCTCTGGCGGCTGTTTGAGTCAGACTAGCAGCAGCACCGGTCTCCCCCACGGGAACTCTCCCGTTCCCTTCGGAGACAGAAACCGCCCAGCTCCACTTGTCTCTCTCTCTCTACCTAACCAGTTTGTTTTAGATTAACCACCTTTCCCCGTCGCCCCGCACAAGCCGTGAGGATGGCGGTCAGAACCTGGCACCTCCCCGGGGCGATTCTGAAGTCCAAGGAGGAGGATAATTGTCAAAGGCGGCGTCCGCCAGGGCTCTCTACGGTAACTGTGTCTGAGAGCGCATTGATCGCCTTTAAAGATGCTCACGCTTCCCCCTCCGCCCCCGACCGGCGATACCACCCGAGGGGGAAGGACGGGGAACTTAATCAGCACAGCAAGCCCCGGGACGGAAGATCGCGGGTTGCGAGTCCACCTCTCACGACCTCCCCCTCGATGAACGGGGACTAAAAATAAGCGCCTAAAACTAGCACCCATTAACCTCCCACCCTCGGCCCTTCGATCTGCTTTCCGGGTGAAAAATGACCGAAAGCTGATTCGTCCAAGGAAAAGTCTGCGTATCGGGCTCCGCTCCACCTCCAGAGTTCGGGCGGTCCTTCAAATTCACCACCACGCCGCCGGCCTCGGGCGATTGCCGTCGGCGGCGTCCCCTTCAGAAAATAGGTCAGCTGCCTTTCCTTCCCCGACCCCTCCCGCTATTCCGAGGCTTAAGCCCCACCTTCAGCACCAGAGAACCAGCTCAATTCCGCCCGAGTCGCCCCTGGAAGGGCGGAGGGGCGGCGGCGGCGCACTTCTCGCCTCTTTGCTTTGCGTCCCGCCCTGCCGTTCGGCGAGGAGTTCGCTTGGGCGACGGGAAGCGCGCCCGCCCGCCCGCCCGCCCGCCCGCCATCTCCATCTGACCACCTTAAATCTCACGGGACCTGGGAAGGTTGGAAGCGCGCGCGGCGCTGAGGCGCGCGACGCGAGTTTCAACAGCTGCCGAGGCCGCCACAGCGCTGCCTCCAGGAGAGCAAAGGCGCCCGAGAACAGAAGGCGCTTGTCAGAAGGCGAGGCGAGGCGACGGTGGGGCCAGCGCCACTGGGGAACTTTTAAGCTCCCAGGTGGCGTTCGCGCCCTCCTGGCTTTCCTGTGGCTGCGCCCTGCCCCCCATTTCCATCCACCCTCCCATCCACACTCATCTGCAAAGACGCGCGAGCCAGGTTAGCTGTGCGGCTGCAACTCAACCGCGCCCCGCGTTTTCAGCTCCACTTACTCCTCTCCGATCGATCGCCAAGGCTCGGGTGTCAGCCTGGAGCCTGACTACAGGCGGCCGGAGAGGCTGCGAGCTCCTGGCGGGGCTGGCAGTGAGGCGGAAGCTCCAGGAAAAGCGTTGCCGCGAGCCGCTGCTCTGCGCGGCGAGGAGTCCTGCGCGTGCGCGCCCGCGCGTCTGCCTCTGCCGGCGCAGGTCGCTTTCCTTCGCGCCCCTCCGACAACCTGAGCAGGGTAAGGGAAATGCACCTGGGCGGTGCTACCGGGTCCTTCTCCTGGGGAATCCGTCTGGAAGCTCCTCCAGGTGTACGGGACTTTTACGCCAGTGTTAGTGAGGTGGGGATGAATGGGAGTGTAATCTGAACGGTCTGGGAAGGAAAGGAGAAGATAGGTCTGAAGGGAGGGGGCATAAATTTAGAACTAGTGGCCTGGGTTTGTGGGGTTAAAGGTGGAGAGAAGAGGAGCAACGGAGAGGACCGAGAAGCGCGGCCCCCTCTGCCAGCAGCCTTTCCCGTTCTTCCCCGCCCGCCCCCGCCCCCCGCGCGCCTTGGAGCTCCCTTGTTTGGTGGAACGAGGCACCTGCAAGGCAAGACTCTCCACATCCCTGCTTCTCCATGGCCGGCCTCCTTGGCAGCGTTCGCTGGCAGCCTTTGAACTTATGACCTTCCGCCAACTTCCCCCAGACGCAACAAACACCGCGCCCCGGCCCCAGCCCCGCCAGGCTAGACACGCTCCCGGGAGCTTCCCAACGCGTCTCGCCTCGCTCCTTTCCGGATTCTTCGGCCGCCCTGGGCGGAAAGGTAGTCTTCGCTCGGGAGCAAAGAGCGGGCTCCGGGACAGACTTTGGGGACAGAGGCTGGAGGAAGGGGACGCTCGGGGTGGCTGGCTGACCCCGGGCGCGAAGGCAGAAAAGGAGGAGGTGGCCCTTTGCGCCTGAGGTAGGGGGGGGAGATTGGCTAACAGAGAACGCAGCTTGGCGGCGGAAATATACCTGGGCGGCCCCGGGCCCTTCGTCTCCGCCTTGACCCTTGTCTCGCGGCCGGGCCGGGCAGCTTGGACAAGGCGGTCTCCCTCCTGGGGCGGGGCCGAGCGGGGAGGACGACGCCTTTTCGGCAGAGAAGCGTTCACTTTTCCAACCATCAGACGCCGCAGCTAGTTAATATTAACTGGATGAGGGGAGGAGAAAGAGGCAAAACCCGGCAGAGCGGGGAGGGGGTTTCTCTTGGCAGGTGACAGCGGCCTTCTAACCTCTCTCCCACGCGCCCTACTTTGGCTAGATCTGCGAGGGGACATAAGGGTGCCAGACCGGAGCTGGAATTCGTCTGGAAAAACGAGCCCTGGTCTCAGACCGCTGGGAGGAAGGCAGTAGAGTCCTAAAAGTCCCTTAGCGGGTTTCGGGGCTTGAGGGGCGGCGGGGGGGGGGCAGGGCGGGAGAGTCCCGCTCAACCAAGGGGACGGAGGCCGCACCCGGTGGGATTTATTCCTGAAGAGACACCCCACGCGTGCCGCTTTCCTTCTGAGCAAAAGGGGGAGAGAAAGTGCAAAGCGCCGTTGCAGGACGGCGCCCCGGAAAAGGCAGGGGTAGCCTGCGTGATCCCGGAATTGTGTAGAAGGTCAGTTTAGATCCCACAACTCGGCCCTTTTCTGCCCGAGCCATCCTGCAAAAAAGAAAGGATCGGGCAGGTAAGATGTCTTGGAGAAGCGATGGAAGCCAAAGGGGCTCAGTGTTGCCGTCTTTGCGGGTGCGGATTTTGACCCCCCAATAAGCCGGCTCTATAGATCTTTCCTTCCCCCTCTCCTCGCCGGCGAAGTTCCCTCCGTGAGCCCGAGAATCCCGAACTGCTGAGTTCCCTGGCTCTTCCTCCAGTCCAGCCGCGCGCCTTGGGCAACCGGCGTCGGATTCTTCGTAGCCCCAGACATTTCGGCTCTTTGGACGCTCACGGAAGAAGCGCAGGTATGGGGGGGTCAGTTTCTGCTGTCTAGTTCCACCCGGTCGGCAGAGATCCGGGATCTGCTGTTGGTGCGGTGAAGGGATAGGAAAACCCACCCGTGTTTCTGCTTACCTGTCCACGTACTCACCTTCCCAGCAGCAGCCTTCTGACATAAAGGTGATGGTTATAACTTAAATCTCCCCCCAAAAGACGTCAGTCTTAAAACAGTTGTAGGCAGCAGCAATTTCTAAAACTGTTTAGATGCATCTAGCTTGGCCAGCCTTCATTCGATAAGATGGCAACTACAAGTTCCAGAATGCCCAGGCATTTGGAAGTTGTAGAACCCATACTTCTGCAAGTAAGGGCAGAGTGGGATGAGGGTGAGCTATGTGTGGACTAGACAATTTCTCCTCTTCTGCAATGCCATCCCACTTGTGTTTATACCAAGGTAAATCCCACTGAATTGTGTGGGGCTAAAACTTCCTACTGAAGAAAATATATAAAAGGCAAGAAAAGGGCTGCCAAATTCATTCCCTTAAAGGGAATGTTGCAAATGTGACTCTGGAAAAAAAAAATTCTTATTGGTTGATACTTTTTGCTGGAGAGGTGAAATGGCAAAAGGTATTCCTGGGAGAAAATCCAAGAAATTGTCCAGTGTAAGTCATTATCCTCTGGAAAGGTTTGTTCTGTCACTGCTACAATCTTAGAGACCTATTTATGCTTCTACAATTCCTCTATAAACCTCAATTGCTTTTTTTCTCCCAGAAATCCCCCCCTTTTTTGTATAATATAACAGAATATTGACCGGTGTTTAATTTGCCTTTGTGGGTGCTTCCAGAATATATTGTCCCTAGCTTTAAAAGTGAGATGAGACTAATTCATGGAGTTTTAGATAAATGAACATTAATTTGCAAAGGATGGTTTACTTTCAGAGGCCACTTGCTTAGAAATCTGTCTCGCTTAAAAAAAATTTTAAGGCTGGCCTTTGTGGAGAAAATGCTAGGAGATTACCAGTGGGATCCACCAAGGTTCTCCTTGCTTCCTTCTCCATTGAAATCAGAGTCAGTGGGAATTTTTGGCCAACTTGTTAATGACTTTAGTTTCTAGGGTCATGGAATCCTGATACAGTCCCTAGCTACAGATTGCAGGGGCTCAAACAAGGATTAACAAGGCCAGGCCAGAGGAAGAAAGGAAGAATCTCCTTATCTAAAGGCTCTATTGACAAATAATAATTAATGAATTGTATATTGGGGAAAGTCAATCCTGAACGGATGAGACTCACAAGAAGCTAAGAGCAATATCAGATTGGTGCAAAGTCACAGGGTATTGTTACACTAGCAAAATTTTAAGTAGGAAAACTGTTCCTGAATTATATTTTCCTCAGATTATTTTGGTCTATTGGTTAAGGCACTGAGGCAGAAAATAGAAAGCCATGAAAGTCTTGCCTTACATACGAAGCAAGCCAGGTGACCCTAGGCCAGTCACTTTCTCTCAGCCCTAGGAAAGAGGGAATGGCAAACCATTTTTAAAAACCTTGCCAAGAAAACTGAAGGGTCTTGTCCAGGAATCAGACAAAAAAAGTTTGTGTGTGTGTAGAGTGAGTGAGTGTGTGGTAGGGATGTGTGTGTGTTTGCTTGCTAAAGTGAGAGAAACTTCACTCAGGTACAAAACTTAAGAATTTAGCCTAGCCTTATTTTTCTCTGTATACAAATAACACGTGTTTATCTAGATCCATATGTTTCCATAGCTTGAAGCAGTAGAGTCCAGCTTTTGCAATCTCCAGATTTGGTCATTTTTTTCCCCTCTTTGGTGCTTTTATAAAGCAAAATAGAATGCCTTGAGCTGCTGCAGGATGTAAGAAGATACATTAAGTCTTTTTCCCTTTCATTTATCTTAAGATGATTCCTGGATAGAAATCACTCAAGAATAGGAAATGTGAAGCTAAATCTGAAAACCTAAATTTAGGGAGTAAGCCCCATTGGTCACAGAAGTGGATTTACTTCTCAGGCTAGGAAAGTTTTATCTTACTAAATTGCATCTTTTCATACAAAAATTAAGTCGGTCCATGTTTGTTAATTACATTAAATGAAATAGAGTTTATTTATGTAGTACCAAGCTTGCATGTTGCCCAACTCACTGAAGGAATCCTGAATCAGATCCAAGTCTATTCAATTAATCCACTTTGGGGATTTAGACCATTCAGCCACCAAACTAATCAAGTTGCCTGATTTAGCAAAATAGCTTACTGCCCCCAATTCATACTAAAACTAACCAAGTTATGCTTGCTTGTGAATGTTAACTACTGAACCATTATCCTTAAAGGTGTTTGGCAAACCCAGTCAATGCCAACAGTCTTTCATTTATCTAGGAAGGAAACTGGTTCAGTGGATGTTCCTCCATTCAGTAGTCATTTTTCACCAAGGAAGTAGGACTTCAAAACCACGGTTCAGGTCCTACTATGGGACAGGACTTGATTCTAGCCAGTTCTCAAATAAGCCCACTGTTAACTGTAGGAAACTTTAAGTCTCCAACCTAGCTATCAATGGTTCTGCTCTAATCCTGTCAAGGTCCAATCAACCCCTGTCTCCTAAAATACGTAGCATATTATTTATTTAATTTATTGGCTGCTCAACTCCAGTAGGCTTTGGACAATATAAGAAAAAAACTATTTAAATATTTTCTAGTCCATTTAGAGGTTCTATTGCTGCCACAGGACACATAATGACCTTGGATTGTCTTCTGGCCTCTTCTCAGCTAAGCTGGACAGAAGATTTGGTAACTGGTAAAGTTGGAGTTCTGTCAAATTGACTTCAGAAAGCAGGTTGGCCAGAGATGTTTGTGGACTGTTGCATCCAGTTTTTTTGACTGGAATGACTCTGGAGGAGCACTTGAGTGAGTCATTCCTGGAGCTGTGTTTCCCTTTGCTCCCCTCCTTCTGCCCACCTAGCAGGAGTTTCTTCAAGATCCAACTTTGGGTCTTAGGATGAAGATCCACCTCTAAGATAATAGATGGGGTAGCAAAGCAAGATTGAGCACTGTGGAAGCAGATCTTTCAGAACTGGCTTCCTTTGTGTGGACACAGAAGCTCAGCCTATTCAATGAGAGCCTCCATCATCTCAGCCAGTAGAGCTCGGTGTCCGGGTAGGAGGTGGATGGGGGTGTGGGTGGGTGGGCGCTTTGTAGAACAGCTTACAGAAGGTGCCCCTGGGGAGACGGTTGCTCCAGTTTCTTCCAGAGTTTGTCTACCTCATCCCTGGTGAACTGCACTCTCCCTCTAGCCATCTCCCACCTAGCCCCTTTTTTGCACCCATCCTTAGTGATAGGGTAAAATGCATAGGAATTCCTACTCAAATCTCACAAGTCAGCAAGTTATCTAAAGCAGTGTTGTTTTTTTCCAACTTGGCAACTTTAAGACACGTGGACTTAAAGCTCCCAGAATTCCCCAGCTAGTCCACACCTCTTAAAGGTACCAAGTTTGGAAAAAGGTGCTCTTTAAAAAAAAAAAAAGCTATTCTAGACTTCTGGCTCTGTGGCAGCTTACCTGCCTTAGGATGCTCGGACTTGGGCAAAAGATCAGCTGCCTGCGAGGCCTCCACATTTTGTCTACTTACAGGTGGGAGGCATCCTCTGTGGTTAGCTTAAGAACCCCTTAAACAAAGGGGAAATAAATTTATTCAGTTAGTAACACAGAGATCACCCAGGAGAAAGTCAGGGCCACCAGATCTGGACTGTAAAGCTCTTGAGATGACCCATCTGGTTACCATCCTGAGCTAGAAGCCCTCCACAAGGGTCTCCCGTCCCCCACTTTGGGCCCATTCGAATATCTCAGCTGGGAGAGAAACCCGGGTCTTCTGGCCACACAATTCTGTTCCCCCTGCCGGGGTCGCTTGGCCACAGGGGAGCTGCGGGGTGGGGGGAGGAAGCACCGCGGGTCTGGCTCCCGCTGTGGGACTTGGCTTCCCCTGCCCAGCCAGCCCGGCCGTGACGACCCCCACCCCACTGCGCCGCCAGCTGTTCTGACTCCCTCCGCCACGCTCGCCTCTCTTCTGCTTGCTCCCGGCAGCGCTGCAAGGACAAGCTGAACGCGCTGGCCATCTCCGTCATGAACCAGTGGCCGGGCGTCAAGCTGCGCGTCACGGAGGGCTGGGACGAGGACGGCCACCACTCTGAGGAGTCGCTGCACTACGAGGGCCGCGCAGTGGACATCACCACCTCGGATCGAGACCGCAGCAAGTACGGCATGCTGGCGCGCCTGGCCGTCGAGGCCGGCTTCGACTGGGTGTACTACGAGTCCAAGGCGCACATCCATTGCTCTGTCAAGGCCGGTAAGCCGCGGGCGATGTGGGGCCACCCTCCCAGGCGTGGCGGGTCTGCTAACCTTGGCCAGGGTGGAGGGAACCCGAGGAATGGTAAAAACAAGCAAGGGCGCTGGCGGACACCCCTAACAGGACGAGGCGCATCCTCGGGTCTCCCCATTCTCGAGGGAGAAACTGAGATCTTTCTTAAAATTGCAGAAGGGGCAAGTAGTAAAGTGGTAGTAACACCTACTGTGAAAGGGCAGGGTATTCCTGTTTATGCTGAAGGGGTCTCAGGGGACCTGCCAAAGATTTGATACGGCTAGTTGGAAGCAACACAATGCTTTGGCTGAGTTTCCCATTTATTTAGCATCCAGAAGGTGTTAGTTGTGAGATAAGAAGTGTGGCTCCTGTATTTTACCAATCCGACTAGATCCACTCCCCACCGCCCCCCCCGGGAGAAAATGCTGGATTTGGGAGGACAAGGTTCAGCCCATCCCCCTCCTCCATAGATGCTCCCTAGGTGACCTTGGCCAAGTGCGTACTCTCTTTCTCTCCCCCCAATCTACCTCACAGGATTGTTGTGGGAAAAAGTAGAAGAATGGAATATGCATTATGTATGCCAGTTTGAGTATGACAAATGGGGTGTGACTCACATCAGCGTTTTTCAAACTCTGGCTACTCGAAAATGAGAGGACTTCAACTCCCAGAATTCTGAAAGTTCACCCATCTTCAAGGTGCCAAGTTTGAAAAAACATTGAAATAAATGAACCTTTTCTTTAGTTACTCTTTTACGTACTATCAACCGTTGTCTGGAAACCTCCAATTAGTCAAGAAGGAGACGGGGAGGGGGGTAGGTAATGTCGGGGACCTTGTCCGAGTTACTGGGGGGCCTGCTGGCCTTAAGAGACAGAAAACGTTTGCTGGGTCTAAGAGGGCTACTATGAAAAATGTCGGGGACCGAAATAGTCTTCAGGAAGGCGAGGGATTAAAATTTAATGGCTGGCTGCTTCTAACCCTTTCGCCCAATCCCCGCATCCTCAAACGAAGGGACTTTGGGGCGTTCTGGTCCCCCTCCTTCCGCTAAGCGCAAAGAGCCCCGCCCACTCTTTTCGCGAGTGGGTGAGAACGTGAGAAACCGCCTCGCGTATCCAGCGCAGGGCGGTTCCGCACCCAGTGCTCTGTTCCCAGCCAAGGTCGGCCAGCATCTGCTCTTGCCCCAAGTGGGATGCTTCAGTTATTTTTGCTGGAGCATCCTAGACTGGGATAGACCCGCGTTCAAGCTTCTCTTGCAATCGCCTCGGCCGAGGGTGGGAAGCTGCTGGCTGGGACTTTGTGACCGTCCGGACGGGTCTTGTGGGCAGAGCCTAAGTAAAATTCCTAGCCGTCGAGCTACTCGGCGAAGAGCTGAAGCCCACCGAGGAAGGAGCATCCCTTCCCGACGCCGTTTCCACGCCGCTTAACCTCTCCAGAGGGGAGCTGAGATCCTTGAACCCAAAGCAGGTCTTCCCGGACCCTTCACCAATCAGCCACAACTCAGTTTGTCAGAGCCAAACCATCCCAAGCAGGCGGGGTGAGTTGTGGCTCCGCGGGTCTCCACTCCCAAGTGGTCCCCCCTTCCAGAGAGATCCGGGAAGCCCTGGTTCTGGTTCCTTTTAGAAATCGCAGGGCGCCCCGTTTTCTTGCTTGCAACCAAAGACCTCCCCCCTCTTCCTACACACACAGAGAGAGAGAGAGGGAGGGAGGGAGGGAGGGAAAGAGAGAGAGAGAGAGAGAGAGAGAG